GTCAACAGGAGTATGCATAACACTAAATGGCATGGTGGCGATGATCAAGGAAGGGATACGTATGCAAAGAAAAACGAAAAGAACAAGCAAGCAAGCAGGCAAACAAGAAAAAGTATGACAATTTACAGCAAAGCGAACAGAGAGGTTTTTGATGAAATTGAATCGTTTTAAAAGCACAAAAACAGAGCACAGCAAGCAGAAGACACAGGGAGGAAGCAGGAGGGGAACGGAGCAGCTGGAGAGCGCAAGGCAGGGTAACGAAAGAGAGGTTGGAAGAGTACACAACCGAGGCCCATAACCTATTAAAGGTATATGTCCAGTACAGTGTAATGTGTGTGGACAAGGCGATTGTCACAGAGGTATCCAACCAGTCGAAGTGTACACGAGAACATGGATTGAAGCAAGGCGAAGGAACAAGACAGAACAAGACAGAAGGAGGGAAGTGGAACGACCGAGGTCAAGAAGGAAAATAGTACCGATCCAGGGAGATCGCTCCCATTTATAGCAGGTGGAAACACACACACAGTGGAGACAGAGAATGGACTATCACACTGAAGACAGGTGGAAGCGATATCAGCAATCTGTTGGGACCAACAGATGCCACAACAAGATGATACACCAAGATGGTACAGCAAGATGTTACACAACAAGGTGGGACAACATCAAGTTAAATAAATCAAGTACCAGAGGACACACAACGTGGTAAAGTATACCGTCTCAGATTGTGCCTCTAATACTTGGGGGCAGCGTGTAGAGGTGGTTGATGAGGCTAGGCACGTACTGCATGGCCGTGAGGAGGGCCTGAAGCGAGACACCGGTCGTCAGCATGTCATTGAGCTTGCCAGCAATGTGCTTTGCCTTGTCGTTCAGCTGCTTCTTCATCCACTCGCGACGGCCAATCGGCGTTCCCAAGACCGTCATGCCCGTGTTGGCCGTCTCGCGCACGGCATCTGGCAAGGCAGACTCGATAGCAGCGATGGAAGCCGAATGGTGGCGAGGCATGTAGAAGCGGCTCTTACTGGGCTGCAGATGAAGGCCAGCAGACTCTGCACGAGCCTTGACAATCTCGACGTCGGCCGCCACGTCCTCCGCGGGACCCATCAGTACAATGTCGTCGAGGTACTTGATGACCTTGCAGCGGTAGTCAGTGGTGGTGTCGAGGAGACCCAGGACCTCACAGGAGTACAGGGCAAAGAAGAAGGGCGATAGCTCGTTGCCCTGCACAATGCCTTGGCCAACATCAATGTCAATCACCTTGAAGAATTTGTCGACAATGCAGTGGGTAGTGGGTCGAGCATAGTGTCGTTCAAAGGCGCGCAAGAGGCCAGGGACCTTGTCGGCCACAATCTCGTGCAGCCGTGCTCGGTCGGTGTAGTTGAAGGCACTCTTGAAATCGAGGGAGAGCATGGTCCAGCCCGGGGTAGACTCACAGGCTTGAAGCTCACCAAAGGCCATGCCAACCGCTGCTGAAATGCCGTCCTTGACTCCGACGGCCAGCTCTGGACTGGCCTGTAGCAAGTGGGCAATATGGGGCTGCTGCTGCTCGAGCAGAGCGCGGTTGACAACCTTGTTGAAGATGGAATCCGTGCCCACGGGTCGAAACTTCCATTGGCCTTCTCCAGGATAGTGTAGTTGATGGAGCAAAGGGCATGTCGAATCGACTCGGGCACGGTGTTGTTGGCAATTCAGGCCCTCCTCACGGCCATGCAGTACGTGCCTAGCCTCATCAACCACCTCTACACGCTGCCCCCAAGTCTGACGTCGGGCTTGTCCGAGCTCTTGAACCGTGCTTGCAAGGACACCTTTGTCAAAGCCTTTTTTGCCAAGGTAAACCTGTCTGCACCGGCTGGAGCTGAAGGTCATGACGTTACGCTGGAACAGCTCCTGGAGGCTCGCCTCTTCACGCGGGCCAACACCGGGGGCTTTGGCCTGCACGACTTGGTTGAGTGCGATCCGGTGGCTTATGTCTGCAACATGGCCAAGCTGGCCACTCGCTACCCTCGGGTCTACGATCGACTTTTGGAGGATGCATCGAGGGCTGCCGACTTTGAGGACCACGTGCAGCGAGCTGGCTTCCAGATGGCCACGGTCAAGGACGCGGCGACCCAGCGACCAGCTGAGATCATTGCCCTCCGCTCCAAGGCCGCACTGGACGACCTGATGGCCAAGTGCGCGCTGGACCTGCAGCAGGCATATCTGGCCTCGCGCGAGTAGGGCGTCAGCACTGTCTTGACCATGCGGGGTCGAGACAAGTTGCGTCGCTTGAGCGACACGACCTTTGCCATTGCGGTCGTGTCCATGATGGGTTTTGGCCTCCATGAACTCATCAACGTCAAGCCGACGGACAAGTGCCCGCTCTGCAGCAGCAAGACACCTCAGCCGCGACTGACCCGCGAGCACCTGCTAACCTGCCGTCCCATCAAGCGTCACAACGCCCTTCGCGACGAGATGGGCCGCCTGCTCAGCCCAACCCCCGACCACCTCGCAAGCCTGCATCAAGGTGGGCGCTGCCCTTCGCCGAGCCGAAAAGGAGAAGCGCGACTACTACACCGGTTTCAACCATGGAAAAACTCTGATCGTCCCTGCGGCGATGACGACAACCGGTGGGTTCGCCTCCTCCTTTGTGGATCTGCTTGGTCAGCTCGCCCGCTGCGCCGAGGCCCGTGGTGTGTACCAGCCGGGGCTGGATGAGGCCTTTGTTCCTCGGTGGAAGGGTCGCTTTGCGGCGCTGGTCCATCAGATGAACGCTGACCACATCCAGCGCCACTTTGGCGGTGTCTGCCTGCGCTCGTCGTAGGTAGGCACCGCCTCGGGGGTCCCTCTGTGGGGATCCCTGTGTGCACCCGTCACTCCCTAGGTGGTTCCTCGTTGTGTCTGTTGATGGCTTGACTTGTATTTTTGTTTTAATTTTGCTTTAATTTTTGCTGTATTTTGTGGTATTTTTGCTGAATTTTTGTAAAGTCCTTTGTATGATGCCTTTGTCTTCTGTGGTCGGTTGTTTTCTCCGACGTTGTGTCTCGTTGGATGTGAGCGTGCCGTGGTGTTCATTGTGTTTGTGCTGTGATGGCTTGTAGTTGTGATGTGTGACTGCCCTTTTGGGTGTCTTGTGTTTGAAATGGCCGTATCTCTGGTTATACTTGGTCGTTTTGTACGATTTTTGTTTCTATGTGCAGGATTCTTCGCGCTTGTACTTCTTGGCATGATAAAAGCCAGTGTATGTAACTTGTTCTCTTGTGTTGTTTTGCGTGACGTAGTGATTTTGATGTCGGGGTTGCACAGCTTTGCTTTCAGCTCTGAGGTTCAAACACCTAATTTATTATTATCTGGTTATACTTGGTCGTTTTGTACGATTTTTGTTTCTATGTGCGTAATTCTTCGCGCTTGTACTACTCGGCATGATAGGAGCCGATGAAAATGTCTTGTTCTCTTGTGTTGTTTTGCGTGCCGTCGTGATTTTGATGTCGGGGTTGCACAGCTTTGCTTTCGGCTCTTATTAGAGAGGTATGAACGCAACCAGCTCGATGTCCGGTTCTGCGGGACCAAGGACATGGTTGCTGACCTTCTCACCAAGCTGCTCAATGGACCGAGCCATCGTCGTTTGTGTGACATGCTCTTTCGTTCTCAGCTTGAAGGGGAGTATTAGAGGCACAATCTGAGACGGTATACTTTACCACGTAGTGTGTCCTTTGGTACTTGATGTTGTCCCACCTTGTTGTGTAACATCTGGTTGTACCATCTTGTTGTGGCATCTTGTTGTGGCATCTGTTGTATCCAACAGATTGCTGATATCGCTTCCACCTGTCTTCAGTGTGATAGTCCATTCTCTGTCTCCACTGTGTGTGTGTGTTTCCACCTGCTATAAATGGGAGCGATCTCCCTGGATCGGTACCATTTTCCTTCTTGACCTCGGTCGTTCCACTTCCCTCCTTCTGTCTTGTTCTGTCTTGTTCCTTCGCCTTGCTTCAATCCATGTTCTCGTATGCACTTCGATTGGTTGGATACCTCTGTGACAATCGCCTTGTCCACACACATTACACTGTACTGGACATACACCTTTAATAATGTCTAAGCAGGCCTGCTCAGATCAGTACGTGTCAGAGAAGGACCCGCTCAGATCAGACAGCTCAATAGCAGGCCCCTGCTCATATCAGCCCATGTCAGATCAGCCCGTATCGGAGCAGGCCTGCTCAGATGAGCTCGTTTCAGAACACGCATTTCAAGCAATGGCACTCAGTTCAATCACTCGTTTTATTTATGCAGGGGATTACAGATCAGGGCTCAACAAATCGAGCTCGGCGAGGACTCAGCGAAAAACAACAGCAGAATAACATAAAACTGCGTTCACATGTTAATTTGATGGTGACAAAATTGGACGTGATCGTTGACCCATGCTCGCGATAGCATGGCACAAGCTTCGCTAGAGCTACGGGAGCCCCAGCTACGGGGTACGAAGGTGCAACTATCAAACCTAATAGGCAATGGAATTTTGTTTCGCCTGGAGAACGTCGTAGAGGTAGGTGCGCGTGTTCAGGTAGGAGTGGTAAATGCGATCACGAATGAAAATAGCTGCTTCGGCATCAGACATTTGTGGCTGGAAGCGAGCTCGGAGATGTTGCAAAATTTTGTTGGTTCGGAAGCACGGGAGTCCAGTGTCCAGCATGAGCTCGACAAGCGAGATGATTTGCTCCGTCATCGGCCGAACGGCGAGATAGCAGCGAACGCAAAGCTCAAGGAACCATCTAGATTGATTTATGAAGAAGATGAGTTGACTGAAAGTGAGACCCACGTCCAGTGAGAACAGTTTGGCAGTTGAACGCAAATGTACTGGAACTGACTTGAATGGCTCAGCAGCACGATCGCCGCCCATAATGTCGGCCATCTCGCGCGTCAACTTGAGATCAGGCTCAAATCCAATGTTGCCACCAGGAGATGACTCAAACATGAAGCCTTCCGATCAAGCATGGACAGGCAAGGTGCATGAGTTTTCAAAGGGCGCAAGAAGGGAGTGAGCATGGGAATGCATGCCTTCGCACCAAAGTCAATGTGAATCAAATGACCAGCGTCATCGACCATGATATTGCCGTTGTGACGATCTTTGATCTGGAGCAAAAACCCAATGATGCTGTATGCCGCCATGCTGCGAATAAAGTTTCGTCGCGCCTGTGTGAAGCACAAATCCATCATCAGGGAGGGTCAGCCCGGTTGAAGATGAAGAAATTTCAGGCCTTTGAAACACCGACCGATTGAAAGGCAACAGTGTCTTCGTTGCCGTAGTGCTGCAGAAAGTATTGGTGCAGATTGGCGTTGGTCGCACGACCGAGCTGATCTCGACTCTTGGCATTGGGAACGCACTCGATCACACCACACCCAGGAGCCGTGGCCACAACCCTTGTTCCGTGCGAAATCAGGTCGACAATCAGGTTGTTCCAACGACAAAGTGAAAAACTCAAAAACAAAAGAGCATGGCGAGGAAAGAAAAATAAAAAAAAAAATAGGACCACCAACCGGTATGGAAACAGCGCTACGTCGAGCTGAATTTCAGCAAACACCTGCTTGAAGAGGCGCATAATCTGCAAAGCGAGCATATCTTGGCGTACATCGTCGCCCACTTTGAAAATGCACGAGAGGCGATGTGACTTGCGCTTTTCAAGCTGTTGATATGTGCATTATGTATGTTCACACACACACACGTCAAATTATGAGACCATGCCAGCGTTGAAAAAAAGCCACACGTTGTTTTTATCCTCCCCTTCGCCATACAAATGCAACTGGCGCCGAAAACAAATCCACAGCAAAGAAACCAGGGGAGAGATTGTAGGCCGAATGCCAAACCTGTTCGCGTGATGCTTCGTAGTCCTCCATCTCGCTAAGGGTACAGTCGATGACATCAAAAGTGGCCAGGTATGGCGCTTTGGCCGCACTCTATTCATGCCAGAGAATTTGATTTGAGATTGGTATGTGATTTCGAGCCGAAGCAATCAAAGGCTGCTTAAGCTTGATAGCGTTCAAGTCCAACCTGCATGGGATGCCCTGAGTTGTAGTCAATTCCGACAACGACACCCTCTGGAATGGCGGGCAAATAGCACCCATCCTGCAAGTGCACCTTGGCCAGTTCTTCCAAACAAGCTGCCTGTATCGCGACGGAAGACGTGAAGGCGCAGGGTAACTAGGCCGTGACAGAGAGCTGCAGGACTACGTACTTTGCGCTTTGGGCCAAGAGGCTTATCACGAATTCTTCCTGAGACGTCAGTGACTTGATCAAAAAAGTCAAACTCACGCTCATAAAACTGCTGGCCAGCATCACTCATCTGCGCCTGTCACACGAATGACAGAATGCAGGGAACAAACATGCCATGCAGCTTTTGAGCAATATGCAGGAGAGGGAAGAGCGAGGAGAGAGGAGCAAAGAGTAAGACCTGAATAGCTTTGATCATTTCCTCCAACATATCACCGATGATCTCATCGCGGTGCTCAGCCTCATCATCTCTGAAATGGCGACAAATGGAAATGAGGCCAAGGCAAAGCCAAACAACGTGAGCAAAAGTTGACACGCTTTGCAAGCAAATGAAGGCAACGCGTTTGCAAATCACACTTGTAAACGTTGGTTTTCATGTTCCAGATCATTTGATGTGCCAGCAAATTTGAGTGATGAGCAGCGCGAAGCATGTAATCTCTGATGTATCCTTTCCGGTCGCAGCGCAGTGCTTGTACAATCTGTGGAATGTAAAACAGAATGACGTCGGGCTTGAAGCTGTTTAGAACGCGGAGTGCGTAGAGGACGATGTGGTCTGCTTCTGGATACAAGCGCAAAAGTGAAAGAGCAGTCACAGGCGCAACAGGCGTCCAAGACAGGATGGCGCGTGCAGTTGCGGCTGCATCCTGACTATAATTGTTGAGGAGATATTTCAGCGCCTCTGGAATTCCAGCATAAATGACAGGCCGCCGAAGAACCTCCTGGCTAACGAGGCGTTGCAGGTGCTCCACGTTGTTGAATCGGCGCGCGAGAAACACGATACTTTCGGGCAGTGTGGCAAGGGCGACGTCAAAGTACTCCTTCCAGGTGCGATCGGAGGGACGCTGTGAGGGCTTGCTGAATGCCTTCATTTCACTCAGGTATGCCACGGTGGTGTCGCGACCTGTGGCAGCAGCGTCGTGCCATGCAACCAATCGATCCGCTTCGTGCCGCGTCAAGACAAGCATCAAGTCGCAGGCTCGCACAAATCGCAAATGGCCTTGGATCGCAAAGAAACAAAGAAAAGAGGCGACAATGGTTACTTAGATTCTAGACGAGGCACCTCATGGCTCAAGAGTAAATGTGCGAGCTTACTTTGCCTGTGGGTCCGCAGAGTCAGCTCAAGCTGCTTGCAAAGCTGGCGGTCCTTTTGCAAAGAAACGTAGAAGCGGCCCAACGACTCCAATTCCTAGGTAAATGGCGATAAGCTATTAGATAAACTGTCAAGAGCTGGAGTGCATGCAAGTGGCGGCAAGAGCAACGGGGTGGTTGGCTGCCTTCCCGAACAAATGGGGACACCCGCCTTTGACACTTTCTGGTTAGGTTCATTCGATGCCACTGAGTGCTAACATACATCTGTGAGATCGGGCTTGCAGGGGATGCGTGGAGCATGCGCCATGTAGCAAAGTAGTGCATAGAATAGTTGTTGGCGCAGTATCACACGCAACCCCGAGGCCATGTCTCCCAGGCCATGCAACAGGGTGAGTGCCAGGTTGAAAAGATTGAATCTAAGAAGAGTTGTTTCAGTCAAAAGATGAAACAAACTGTCATGAACGCAAGGACCTTGAATGGTTCACATGTGTGTATGCACAAAGAGACCCCCTCCCCCTTCTTCAAGCAAGAAAACCAAAAACCAAAAACCAAAAACCAAAAACCAAAAACCAAAAACCAAAAACCAAAAACCAAAAACCAACCCCCCCCCCCC